TGTCTACTCAGGTTAGGAGATATAAATGCCACTCACAAAACCAAACGAACTTTCAACTATAGATGCAGTAATTTGTACTGGAAAGCATCCTTTTGCATTTAAGGACTACAATGTTGGAAAGCAATTTGCTGCTGCTATCTCAGACTCCAAGTTGTGATTTCCCAAGCAATGCACCACTGCAACACGAAAATGATAGTAGTAGGCTACAGCGGCTGCAGTTATCCCTTACAGAGTTGGGATAACAAATGTATCATGGTTTGTCGAGGTTGTAGAGGGCTTCCAGGGGCTCTTTCTTGGGCATGGTTAGTCCTGTCCCTTCTGTCATATCTATTTTCTGTTCGCCTTCCCTCTCCTAATCAAAGCACTGGATTAAAGCTCCCAAGGCAAGTGCTACAACCCTTCTGCCTAAATTAGTCTCCAGACAGGCTCGTCGCCCTGCACCAAATGGAATCAGCTTATATCCTTCGTTTACCCTACCATCAAATCTCTCAGGCTTGAACTTTGTTGGGTCGTCCCATATGTTTGCTACTCTCATGATGCAGTATTCATCTTTTCATCGTTAACAAGGCAAGTAATAATTAGGAGCAAGGAAGGTTTTGTAGTAAGTATCTTACTGCACAAAGAGTAATTATAAATGCCTACATGTTAGTCACTAACATCAGAATTTGAGATTATGGTGTTATTATTACTGAATAAGTGCGCTGCAACAAATGTCAAGGAAAAACTGAAGAGGCAAACTCAAGGAAAATGGAGAAACGTTGATGTTAGCGAAAAACTTGACAGTGTAGTCAGCTTGCGGAGAATAGACTCCAAAGTAGAAATAGAAATTAGATATAGGAGAACAAGCATAAGTTTTCCCCATTGGCAAGACATCGTGAAGCTAAAATTCTTACCAGTATGACGGATTTGATAACTACATCAGAATCGTCGTATTCAGGATCTGTTTCTTGTAGTGATAGCATAACATCTATCAAGGTTGTCATCCTTTCATTGTTGCTTTTACCTGCCTGAACCATTTCGCTCCTGATTTTTCGGCCCTCGTCAACAAGTTTCTGGAAGAAGTTGTCCATATCCAAGCATCTTGTATCGTGTTTTCATTGTATGCTTCCCAATTTAGATTCTGACTACCGACTGCTGTCCAAAGAATCAGCCCCGATTCACATTTTTGTTCAGCATTATTACCTCTATCGTTGTACATAGAGGTGGCAATTTGTCCCAAGTCCCAATGGGTTACCCATGCCCATGGGGATTTTGGGCGGGATGGGTATTGGATTTTGATATTGGGTTTAAAATGGGACAAATCCCAATTGTACCCATTAATTGATGGGAATACTTGGGAAATACTTGGGTACCCATTGGGCTCAAATAACAAGGGCTCTGTTTGGTTTAGCTATTTTTGGGGGGTATTTTTGAAATATTTTATATAGCAGTGTATATGAAAAATTTTTACTATAATTTTTTTTTTAAATATTTGATATACTAATATGGATGGGATGTTTTTTGAGTTATTGCATATTACTGTAACATTGTATTTGAAAAACTTATTTTTTGAAAAAATAGCCAATCCAAACGGAGTCTTAGATTCAAAAATTATCTTTAACAATTTTTATAGCCATACTAGAGAATATAATCTAGTAGTTTTCCTAGTCATTATCCATAAGAATTTTCAACATTTCAGTCAATTTAGACCTGTCATCTTTGAACAATGATGATGATAAATATTCAACACCTTAAGTATCTTGGCCATTTTGATATATGTTGGAATATGACTGTATATCTATTTTTTCCTTTATTTGTTAATACAATTTTTGATGGGAATCCTGAGTATAAAGCACTTGCATGTTTATTTAATAAAACTAAAAAAATTTAATAAATAAAAAATATTAAAATTATATAAAAAAGTAAAAATGAATTAAAGGAAAAAAAATATGTAGAAAATAGATTTGGGTATTGGGCGGGATCAATCTAAACCCATCCCAAAGTGATCCCGCCCAAGTTAGTCCCAAAACACATATGGGTAAGATTGGGCCCAAACACATATGACTCGGTTCCATCACAAACCCAAGCAAATCCCGCCCATCCCGCCCATTTTGCCACCTCTAGTTGTACATATGAAATCTGAATCTATCCGACGTTTTGGAGCGAATATTGGTACCAATGACTCAGTAAGGATGGAAAACAATTCACTGTGAGCCTGATTTGCAAAAATCCTGCTTTGTCAAAGGGAAACAACTCAACTTTGAGTTGAGGACTTGAGATGCTGATAAATAAAAGTCACCACCAGCTATCGACTATAAGAAAAAGATTGGATTATTTGTATAATAACCCAAAACAAGAAAGAAACGTGCCATGCTGTAGACTGGGAATCTTTGCAGCTTGAACATATATGATATATGATGAAGAGGAGACATCGGTTTTTTTTTTTCAGCAAGTTTTTCTTGCCTGCCACTCGTTGATAATAACTTGATAGCTTGTACTGTCAAGATTCACAGCATCTAGTTGGCTTTCAAAGTTGATAGAGAAGTCAGATTGATTCTTGGCGCCGAATGCATAGGGCCTTCAAACGGATAGCCTTCTGCAGAGTGATTCTGCAGATAATTAAAGGGAATGTTCAATTCACCATCCTGTTCAACTTTATCCCAATCAAAATACTGGATGAATGTACCCACTGTGAAGCTTTTCCTACTGCATCTGGAGAAGAAACTACCACTACTTTTTGCATTTGGTTCAGTTTTGTCAAAATGGTGGTGGTAAGAAAATTTTATTATAGTTCTAGAATAATGTGAAAAGACTGAATATCTTTTCTTAGAAAGAGTACACCTTCAATTTGTCAACTTAAGAGGATGAGATTGGAGAACATATTGACACCACTAATTTGCTTTTGTGTAGTTCTGTTATGGCTACTTAGCGTACCATGCAACGAAAAGGGGAGATGTCAAATTGCCAAAAAGCCAATAGGGCTGGAGCACCTTGCCAAGGATGGCTAGCCTGAATTCCCTGTTGGTAACCAAGCAAGAAAGTACCACTGCTGCCTAGATTCCAGAACCATAGGAGAACCATAGGTTTGACAGAGTCCATCTAAAGTCTAATGAATGGGCTGTTTCAAACTTTGAAGAGATCATGTAGATGACCTGTTATTTGCAGAGCTAGACGGCCCAGGGTTGTCTAATTTGGTGCCTTCTTTTCAAATACAGGGACTTGAATACAAAAGAAAACATGGAAAACAAAATAACCAAGTTGAAAAAAAGTTTTTTGACAAAAAAAAGAAAAAAAAAAAAAGTTGAAAAAAAGTTTCATATCCCATTTCACCATTTCAGTGGAACTCAATAACACAGTTTCGATGATTTATAAGCAAAACTTATATTCCTTATTCGAATATCCTTAATTTTAGCATTCATTTTCAAGGTGGCACTAAAGAATGCTGTTGAAGTATTGCTTGTCGAGGTCGGCATATAGCTTGCAAGGGCTCGACTTTTGGAATGCTAAAGCCCCTGCCTTCAGTCATGTCCACCATCTCTTCACTAGTTCTCTCCCACTCAAACACCTGAACAAGTGTTCCTAAAACCAATCCAAGCACCCTAGTTCCTATCCCTGCACCAGGGCATCCTCGCCGTCCGGCACCAAAAGGAAGCATTGTAAATCCATCGTCTCTCCTCTCCTGGTGCCTCTCTGGTATAAACTTAGTTGGATCTTCCCAGAGCTTGGGGTCTCTGTGGATGGCCCATAAGTTCACCAGCAACATTGTACCTTTCGATACATGATATCCAGCAACAGTACAGTTTTCAGAGGCTTCATGAGGGATCAGAAGGGGAACTGGTGGATACAAACGCAGGGTCTCTTTGATTACATTCTGTAGATAAGTCAAGTTTGGCAAGTCTTGCTCTTCTAAAAGCCTGTCTTCTGGAACATGAGCATCTATCTCAGCTTTGATCTTCTTGATGGCTTCAGGTTGGTTGAGGAGCAGAGCCATTGCCCACTCCAGGCTTATTGACAGTGTATCTGTTCCAGCAATCAATAATACCTGTATAATTTGCAAGATGAACAGAATATTACACAAATTGCCATACTTGAGGTATAAAATAATTTCAGTTGACTCCCCCGAGCTATTGAGGTAGGAATCCTCTACACATAAATTGTCTATTGTCAAATTGGCCTGTAACTAATACACACACACACACACACACTACAGAGTACAAACTAATTTGAAAAACACACCCTATGGAAGTTATTAGAAATATAACTTTTTCTTTTGCAAAAGAAAAAAGTTATGATTTTTTTTTTACAAAAAAAAAAAAAAAAATTGGAAGTAAAAGTTATTAGAAGTAACTAAACTAAAGTAATTATCTTTAGTATACTTTAGTGAGAGTAGATTTGAAAAATCAAAAGATGACACAAAATCATTACTCCCTCCATGTCATTAAAAGTTAATCCTAAAAATTGTGTTTTTTAGGATTAACTGAAAGAAAAAAACTTTTAGGATTAACATTTAATCACATGGAGGGAGTAATCCTAAAAGTTTTGTGTTCTAAACTTTTACATGCTCTAAACTATTTGTCACCTTCAACACATCAAAACATAGTCATTACCTTTTTACTCATGTATCCCTTAACTTCTTGTAAATGACATGAGTTGTACCATTTAAGTATTAAATATATGAGCAACTATCAATAGGAACACATTACTGAATTCCGATTCTCAAAATTCAAAAGAAGACAAGAGGGAGTACAATCCGATTCCAACTTAAAAAACATCAGAAACAAAAAAAAATATGTTAAAGCATTAAATGAAGATTGCAGGATGAAGACGTTACCATTATAATTCCTTTTATCAGCTCATCTGAATAATATTCATGTTCATTTTCTTGCAACGAGAGCAAATGATCTATCATGGTGGCACTTCCATTACTACCAGCTGCTAAAAGTTGCTTACGCTCATCCACCATGTCCTGCATGAACTTGTCAAGCCTTTGCATCAAAGTTGTGAATCTTTTTTCCAATCCCTTAAAATCCACCCACACTCAACAAAGGCAGATAATCCCCAAGATTCGACCTTCCACTATTCTCAAGCATTTCCCTGATCAAAAACCTCGCCTTTCTCGCCTCCTCGGCGTCCGCCACATTCTCTCCATAATACCTCTTTCCAGCCATAGTCATCGAAAGAATATTGAAAGCAAGCTCAACAAACTTAGACTTCAAGTCCACTTTTGTTGATCCTCCACCTTCATTACACTTGTGCATCAGTTCCCTTAATAGCAGCATCAGTTCCGTTTTTCGAGTACCTGTGAAAACAGCAATACGAGCTGGAGAGAAAATCTCCAATGCTGCTAAACGGCGAAGATTTCGCCAATGATCTCCATAAGGGGCTACGCTGATGGTGGTGTAGTTGTAACTGAAGTGTTTTGATGAAAGGCTTCGAGGGCGGTTCGCAAAGATGATGTCGTTCTTGGTGAAGCATTCTTCGACTGCTGATGGTGAGGTGACGATAAGGGCCTTACGGACGCCTAGCCGGAGAAGCAAGATTTCACCATACTTAGCCGAAAGTGATTGTAGAGTCTGGTTGAGTGGTTCTTTCAGAAGATGGAGGTGGCCTATAAGAGGAAGTGAAGGTGGACTTGGGGTTGGTTTTTTGCGCAAGATGCTAGGTTTCTTAGCAAAATGCTGAAGATGAATAGAACGAAAATTGCAAGACATGCAGTAAGAGAATAAGTCAACTCCATTCTTGCCCAATTTCCCCTTTCTTTGCCCAGGCAACATCTCTATGGCTATTTGATAAGTATTTGGTCTCTCTCTCTCTCTCTCTCACATACATACATACATACATACATACATATATATATATATATACATACATATATATATACATACATATATATATATATATATATATATATATATATATATAATAAGATACAACTTGCTAAGAAGTAATGCTCCGTAAAGTTTTGCCAACAAATGAAGACAGATCATTTCCCTGAATCAAAAAGAAGAAGTTAAAAAAGATCAAAGGCAAAAATACAAGCAAAGACATTGAATGATATGGACCCAAAACAGCAATAATTAAATAAAAAAAAAAGGAAAGATATGGATCCATTTGCACGGTTGACATGTCTATTATCAATGAATACTGCATGGTGCTTCCATTCTGTTGATTCTTTTGGGTCAACTACACTGTTAACCACAGTGTTCCTTTCGGATTTGAAGGGCTTCAGTTGACAATGTGGAGCACACGACAAAATGGATAAGATAAATTGTCCACAAAGAAATGGTAGGATGGCTGGTGGACAAGTTAGAAAATTGTATCCAAAATTATAGCAATTTGGACAGTAGCATGATAGTGGTAGTGGTTGGCCCCACGTGAATGGGCTGGTGGTTGGCGCCTCCTCCTCGGGACCGTTAGGTCCTGGGGTCGAACCTCCGCAGCAATATCAGTTCGCCGTGCATTTAACGTGCTAGGTCTAGTTGGGGCGCTGGACCGGGCCGGAGTGGGGATTAGTCGGGCCGCCTTTACGGACTTGACCCGGACACCCCACTCCGTCGACAAAAAAAACAAAAAAAAATGATAGTGGTAGTGGTTGGTAATAGAAAAATTTAATACGGAAGTCTAAGATTCATATTCAGCCCAAGACATAATTAACTTCTCCTTGTCTGTTAAGAAATCACTTTTTATGTCCTTTAGTTTATTTAGTTATTCGATTTCCATATGAATGTCCACTTTTCTCTCCTTGTGAGACGGAGAAGTGATGGCTCATGGATCGTAGAAAGAGCCTATAATTCACTCACAAGTAATCTTTACATCATAATAAAACATGCTGGATTGCATTTTTCTCAATTTTTTGTAAAAAAATTACTGTAGCGATTTAATATATGTAAGTTAAAAGGATGATTGAAAAATGTGGTCACGGAAAACGTAGTAATTTTTCTTTCCAAACAAGACATAGCCAGTGCGTTTAGGCATGGAAAAAGAAATGTTCGACAATCCGTTGAAAGTTGGACAGCTTGTTTGGATTGTTATTTTTTAAATTTTTGCGGAAAAATATAGTGTAACAATTTAATGTATGTGACATAAAAAAGATTAATTGTCTCAACAAACTTAATATCTCTCTTGTTCAAACACTAGTTTTTTATGAGGAAATAAGTTTGTCACCCTAATTCTTGCTATGGTTAGAGTATTATTCAAATGATACTACTGCTTTATCCTGTTTCAAGCTCGATTTTGTCAGTTCTTTTAAATTACTGAGCGTGTATAAGCAGGAAAGCAAATAAGCTTGTTTCTCAACCTGAAAACAGTTGACTGATGAAGCAAAACAATGTACAAAACGTACATAGAAAATTTTTGCTTGTTCTCATGAAACTCTATATTTTATGTTTAATCGTTTGTTGGTTTATCAACCTTTAGCTGCTCTTTAAAACGTGTATAGCCCAAGGAAGATCCTTTTTTTTTTGGGCTAACTCCACCTGCATCAAATTGTATTTAGGCTTTATTGCTTGGGTCTCCTTAAATGAAGCGCATGGGGACTGGATCGACTCCACTGATTAATTTGGTTGTCAACCATAGTAGTGTCTTTTTTCGGGTTTGTGCATTGTGGAGCTTTAGATGCTAATTTCCAGCCCAGAACGAAAGAAATGCAACACAATATTGAATGCGAGGAAACTGCACAGTAGCCAGCAGGTGGTCGACAGTTGAGCAAATTGTATATTCGTGTCATCAATACAAAGTTATAGCTATTAAGTATTAACAATAGCCATGATGACGATGATGATTGAGATGGATGATCTAATAACCAAGTCCAAGGTTCAAATTCAGTTTAGAACATCCTGAGTGGACAAGAGGTTTCTAAAGAGATTGATTTACTACAGAAACTTGTTTACTGGAGTAGTATTTTATGATCTATTGGCTAATTTATCAGAGTAGGCATTCCTCATGTTTCCTATGAAAATACCAGGTGGTTTTTTTTAAGGGTTGGCTCTAATCCTTACAAAGAGAAAGGGAGAAAAGACGACTGCTTGAGAATTGAACTACACTCAATCAATTAAGTTGGGTCTCGGAGAAATAAGTGCAGATGTTGGGGAAAAGCGTGTAGAACTCAGAGTCAGCTTCTTGCAAAGACAATAATGATTGGATTATGGTCTTGCTTTGATCAGGTGATGAGGCTGAACCACTTTCAGTTCTTCGAATTTCCTCAATCAGATCGTGCATGAACTCATCAAACTTCCTCTGGTAATTCTCCAACATCTTCCTACACTTTTTCCCAAGGCCAAACCACCTCATTATATGCACATATTTACAAATGTCCGTGGGCAACTTCGCCGAAAACATATGATCAGTCGACATTGTTGGAAATTGTAACGAAGATTAATGTCCAGTAGAGGACCTCCAAATCCAAAGCCATGCTCCAGAAGCTAAGGCAAGTGATGTAGCCATGTAAGTTTCACACTTCCACTTTATCTGTCTGATATAGGCAGTTAACAATGGCCAAAGAGACAGCAACATTAGCCTGATATATATAGATGGCAAAAGAGGAGAGATTCCATAGATATCTGCCTACCTGCCACAGAAGTAGTATGACCTTCCACCAACGTTGGATTTTGTACTTGTTAGCTGCACTAAGATACTTGCATTCCCCTAGAAACAAACACTATATATAAGATATAAAGGGAGCAGTTGTTGTGACTTAATATTATTGTATTTTAGATTAGGTCACAAAGTCTCGTATAAAAATTGGTGAAAGTAACTTGCGATTTAAGGGGTATGTGTACATTTATTACTTTTTCACATCGTACACAATATTCAAGCTGTTCAACGTGAAACACACATAACTATTACTAGTCGTAAACACAAATAAAGATTTTGTACACAGAGGATGGCTATGTTCTCGTACAAGTCTTGGCTGATAACAACTTGATAGCTTGCACTACCACAAGTCATAGCTTCTAGTTGGCTTTCAAAGTTGAGAGAGAAGTTGGATTGATTCCTGGCGTGGAACGCATAGGGCCTCCAAATGGTTAACCTTCTTCATAGTGACTCTGTTAGTAAAGTCAGTGTCCAATTGGCCATCCTGTTCGACTTTATCCCAATCAAAGCACTGGATGAATGTACCAACTGCCAATGAAACACTCCGAATGCCTAGATTGGCTCCGGGACAAGCTCTCCTCCCTATCCCAAATGGTAAAAACTTGGAATTGAACTCTTCTTTATCCATTAATACCTTCGCTTCGAATCTTTCTGGCATGAATTTCTCAGGCTCCTCCCAGAGTTTTGGATCCCTATGCACGGCCCAGGCATTAGCTAAAACAATCGTACCTTTTGGAATATCATACCCCCGACTCGGCAGTCTTCAGATGCCTGATGAGGTAGCAGAAGTGGTGCCGCGGGGTACAGTCTCAATGTCTCATTGACAACACAACGAAGATAAGGAAGCTTTGGAATATCAGACTCATCCATCAGCCTTCCATGTCCTACGCTGTTGTCAATCTCAGTCCTCAGTTTCTGTAGTGCCTTCGGGTGATTCAGTAAAAGCAACATAGCCCATTCAGTGGTCAGTGTGGATGTTTCTCTTCCTGCTGTAAATATTATCTGAATCAAGGGTTGCTTTTGTTAGACAAAATAAATATGGTTAAAATTAGGGTGGAAAGAATCCCAGGACGGTTGCTTAAATGCTCTGTCCAACAGGATCATCCATCTGAAAAAGCTTTACTAAGTACAAGCAAGGGAAAGGATGATGAAAAATGACAACCAATGAGCTCAAATGCAACAAGGCTGAAGCTATTATCATTTCAAAAGATTGTTTTGGTGAAATTAATGGTGGTTGTTTTCAGGAATTTTCCTAATTAAAACTGCTACTCAAATCTCATCCGCTAGCATGACAAATAACAAAAGTAAGCATGAAGTATCAGATTTTGACCTCGATTACTACTCTTATCTTAGTATCAGAATCCAAAGTTTATTAAGCAGGACTTTTGTAAGAAGGCCAGTTGGAGGAATACTAACCCCATATAAGTCTATTTTTTCTTCATTATCAGAATCAAAATAAGACAAGGAAAGGAAGGAATTCACAAGCTCCATAACTTCGCTGTCACCTATAACGGATTCTAGCTTCTCTTTAAGAAGAATGATTGATCAAGAGTTTTCTATGATCGGATTAGATCAAGTCTATATAAACCATCAACCTTTACTCTATACAAACCATCAGAATAAAATTCTTTTAACACTCGTTCTAAGTCCAAAAGAGTTCTTTAACAAGATATTCTTCTTAAGAATTGCTTGATTTGTCATTCTACCATGACATGTTATTACAAGCTTGTCTGATTCTTTAGGGATAACTCCAATATAATTATAAGGGTAATTTTCACCACAATACAATATATGTTGATATATGTCTTTAGGATAGTTTTGAATAGGTAATATACTGACACGTAGAGGTGATAATTGATATCCGCCACTTTCTACAGTTAGCTCCCACAGGCAAAGAATCAATTGCTAAAGGTTCATATAGAGCTGTTACTGTTGCCTCACTGTAGCTTAATGAATTTAATTGAAAACCATATTAACTTTATATTGCTGAAGATAGCAATTGAGCAAGTGAAACAAGTTCTGCAAAATAATGAGTTCATAACAAGTGTAAATGCAGATAAAGCGGAAAAAAATAAGTATATTCTGCCAGTTCAAATTTCACTGCCTTGGCAAAGTACTGAAGTGGGATAAGCTCATGGAGTAAGAAAAACAGAGAGAAATTGCATATTGCACTAACCATTGC